CGGGATGATGCAAGGTTACCTGACCTCTGAAGTTTGACCTCGCATAACATAATCCCACTGAGACTGGCCAGGTGATTGTATTAAGTTTTTAATGTAAATAATTTTTTAATGTGGCTTGGTCAGAGTTGCAATTATTTTTATTCATATCTGTTACAGCTCTCCATTTTGCACTACATGTATACTGTATAATAATGATGTAATAATAGTAGGTTATAACTCGCAGGAGGCTGGAGCGAGCTAAATGCTTATGATATGTTATTATTTTTTAAAGATTACCCTAAAATAAAAAAAATAACTAAAAATTGTTTCATTGACATTTACGTCAAGGATTTATTGACTTAATGTACTAACAATAATGGGTTATTTGCATGGATGAAGTAATAAAGCCACAAGATGAAAATTATGTTATCAGTGGTGTTTGGAGAGTTAGAAACAATGTAGTAATGGGTTACTGTACCTACATTAGCTTATCAAAACTTTCAAGGGGGCGCACATCTAAAGGCTTGCCTAGAGCTATCACTTTGGCAGTGTGTTGGAGATAAATAATTTGTATAATTAATTTTTTAGGCGGATATGTCGGTATTGTGATATCGAAGGGAACTGTCCGCCAGGGTGGCAGGTAGCGCTGTTGCGTCTCAACTTTGTACAGATGGTCTAGTCCAAACATCTTCATATGTGTAGCTGTAGTTTGGATCCATTTAGACCAGTGGTTCCCAAACTGGGGGCCATACAGCAAAATTTAGGGGGCCATAAGCTGAGGCTATGTACACATAAAAATCCCAAGCCCCACCACACTGGAACAGCCAGTCAGCAGCTGAGCCAGCCAGAGATATGGATTGGGAGAGGGGGGCCATGGATAAGGATCATATATGAAAAGTGGGTAATGATCAGAAAAAGTTTGGGAACCACTGATTTAGACTAACCAGTCCCATGGTTCATACACTCTATCAATTTTTGACACTGGGTATACCTAGTTCTTTCCTCATATGCCTTTTCCGTCACGAAGGACCAGGGCTTGTGAGTGGTAATCTATCAGAGATCTTATATTGCCTAGGTACATTGTTTTAACAATTCTAATATTAGCTACACTTCTAATAGGTCTCAGTCTATCCGTACACTGGCGGGTTAGCTGTTGTATGGCAGGTAAGGTACAAGGGACGGAGACACCAAGATATTTAAAAGATGAAACATAGTCAATAGTGTTGTTACCTATCTTGAACTTGGCGGGGCCGCGTTTGCGGCCTTAGTTTTCTCATTGGAGATAATAAGACCGAGGTTCTCACAGGCTGCGTATACATGGTTCAGGGTGGTTTGCTTTTCACGATGAGCTTTAGTATGTACAAGAATATCATCAGCATTGCTGATTGAGATATTGCTGGGGTTGTCTGGTATTAAATTTAATAATGCATTCATAAGAACATTGAACAAAGTGGGTCTAAGTACTCCACCTTGAGGGGTACCAAGTTGCATGTGTTTAACTTCACTTTTGTAACCCTGAAACAGTGCAGCAGCCCTTCTGTTGGTTAGCTACCCACTTATCCAGTGTAACAGCCTACCTCCTATATCCATTTTGGCTAGTTCGTACAATATCAGTTGTCTATTGACAATATCAAATGCCCATGGGCAGCCTCTTTGTGGAGGCCCCTCTCATTATAAGTACCCAAGAGGGTGGGGTGGCGAGTGAAGAGAGCCTAAACATCTGGAAGTTCCGGGGGGCGCTGTAAGCCCCCCGGGAAAATTTTGAAATTTGAACACTTCTTTGGAGAATTTTGAAGTCATGATGGAATAGATAAACATGGATTTTAAAGAATGAAAATGAAAATAATCCAATTGAATAACCGAATAAATAAAATATTGTAATATGCGCGGGCCCTTAGATTGTGGAGGCCCACTTTGCCCACTCCTGAATCCGGCCCTGTCAAGAAATGTGGTGTATCTGTGCCTTTCATCACCATGGACAATTAGGAATGTGGTTATGCAATTATGTACACCTTTACCAGGGGTGAAGCCATATATGTAAGGAGACATGTGTTCTCCGATTCTATATAAGTCTGCCAAGAACCATCCTCTCAAAAGTTTTACACAGGCAGCTGGTTAGTGATATAGGACGAAAAGCATCAGGCTGTCCTGGTTTCGGTATTGGTACAACAATACTCCTGGTCCATGATGTGGGTAGTTGGCCCTCGGCATGACTCATATTGTACAATACCAATACCAGTAGTCTAACGATGTTGTAGGTGACTCCGTCCTCTCCAGGGCTGCGTCAAGCTCCCACTCAGTATATGGAACATCACACTCATCGTGCTGTTTGCCCAGCATAAAGTTAATAAGATTACTTCTCTCTACAGACTTCGCATCAAGGAGTCTCCGAGTCCTAGCTGGTAACATGTCATAGCTAAACCCACGAGTCCACTTTGTTATTAGCTCATTCGACTTTTGCAGAGGGTTTGGATGGGAGACATGTCTACTGTTTTTACCCCTGACTGTGTTCGTCTTTCCAGGCTTTGCTAAGGGATGTGTGTTGGGTCAGGCTGTTGACATGTCTCCCACATTTGTCCGAGTTCGTTTACACGCTCCCTGACAGCAGCAAGAGAAGCTTGATACAATTGTAACATTTGAGGTGTTCAAATTTGTTTGTAACCCTTACCCACCCTCCTGACTAGTCCCGAGTTATTATTTCTTTCAGTTTAGGGTCATCATAGCACTGCTGTTGCCTGTTCCCATTATGCTGACCACGTTTTCTCCTTTTTTTTTGTGGTGGCATTGTTGGTGAAGTATGTATAAGTCCTATCTATCAGATCGTCATGGAAACTTTGGTAGACTGTGCGCCTACATCTGTTGAGTTTACCACCAGTGGGGGTGTCATTCGCTACATGTATGCTAGCTTGGATTGGGCTGTGGTCAGACATAAAATCAGTGACAACATCAGAGCTATGAGCTGTGTAGGATAGATTAAAACCAATACTTGTCTAGACCCCCGCCAAAGATGTGTGTTCATTATTACCTATGATTTGAACATCTTTATATGCGCTGAGAAGTGAGATAAGTCTCCTACCATTGGTGTTAGTGGTGGAGTCACCTAATTTCTGGTGTCTAGTATTCAGGTCACCCATCAGGACAGTGGGCTCAGTGTGTAAAAAGTCTGGGAGATCTGTGTACTGAAGCTGATCTCAGGGAGCATAGGCGTTTAGCACGTTGAGTGTGGAGTTGCCCAGGTGGATACTGAAGATTGGTAGTCATTTTGAATACAAGAGGTACATGTGGGAGTGACTTCTTAACATACATCACACATGTGTGAGTAGAACTAGGATCATAATACACATAATTGGACAGACTGGGTGGGGGGCTTACCATTAGGTGTGAGAGACTCCTGCAGACACACAATATCGATGTCCTCAGTCACAACTTTGTGGTGTAAGTCAGGGTATCATTTTCTAAGGGATGGGATGTTCCAACTCATCACCTTTACCGCTCTGTACCTTTGTCGGATATTAACACTGGGACTAAGGAGTCTGCAATATATGGTACTGTATCTCGCTAATATACGTAACTCATGAGTTGTTTTGAGTATTCGACCCCTGGTCTGACGGTTCCCTTCAGGTTAATTAATTACTTTCGTAATTAACATCCTTACAACAATTTCACTATGAAAAAGAGGTGACTTCAGCCTCGGTGAACAATCACTGGCATCTCTAGGGCCGACGTCAATGATACTCACTGCCGACTCTACCCTGACTTATATTGACAATTAAGCTAACAGTAAATACAATTGTAGCTTTCAACATCAGTCACAACGGATCTTGAATGCTTCATCTGCAATTTTTCAAGACCTGCAACACTGTTACACATTCTAACACTAAATATCTCCTTCCAGTCCATCGCAAGTTCACACAACCGGTTCTTATCTAACATAGTTGGTCTATTCACATAACTTTAAATTCAGATTTTTGTACTTTACCTCACACTCTAATACTCTCCAGTATAGGTTCTCAACTTGATACCCGAGTCTTCTAAAGGCACATGCACAAATAGCTTCTCTACTCATTATAGAGAAATCAGCTGCAGTATCCACTTCCATGGTTACAATTGTGCCATTAATGCGTTAGTTCACATTATACCTATGTTTAACTTTCTCTTCATGACTGGTGTAAATAGTACACACATGGACACATCATTATCAGGTTCAAAACTTCTAACACTCATGAATACCGTTTTTCATTTCCTTCTCATCACCTTCGACGACATATAATCTACCTTTATCACTTCTGGCAGGGGCTGTAATTTCTTTCTCACAGGCAGGAGCAATATGTCCAATACGCTGACAATTTTAACATCTTGAATTTTTGAACTTACACTGAAAGCTTTCATGTTTGCCTAGGCATCTTTTACATTTTAAATTAGCATGTGTTCCTTGTTCTGTGGCATAATTCTTCCTTTTTAGCCACAGTTACTTTACACACCGATCCACTACTGCCAACTGTTTCACAACCGGCACTGGGAACAAGTTCTCTGGTGTTTTTCTCTGCTAATTCCATGCTTGTAGCCAACTGACATGCTTTTTCAAAAGTTAATTTCGTGGTGCTCATTCACTTATTTTGCATTTTTTATAATTCAGACCTATCAAAAACTTGTCTCTTAAGAGCTCTGTTACAGTGAATGGATAACTTCTTCAAAGCTACTATATAATCACCGATTTATCTTTCCCTCTATCTCTTGTGCCAAATTTGTAACTTTCAGCAATCTCAAGTGGAGTCGTTTGGTTTGTCTGGAGCAGAGTAGAATAAACATTAGCTCCTACCGTCGTCCATTCTCTCACAATATGATGTGAAGTTCTCCTTGTTTGCATCATACTCCCCCACTCGTCCAATGTATCCACTGACGCAGGCCTTCCCTTCAGTGGTCACTATCCTCTCTTCAAGGACTTCAACACTTTGTGAATCCCATCCTCGGAGCCAGTGTATTATCTTACATGATTTAATGGGAGAATGAGAAGCCACATGCCAAGTCTTACTCCAGGCGTTTATTGTTATGTACCATGTGCCTAACACATTCGTGATTACACAGGCCTAAACACATTCGAACTTTGGTAAGAAGTAACAGAATATATAATGTATATATCAATAAAAGCAGCATATAAACACACACACATAACCTACTGAAATAATTATGTCCCTAATTAATTAGTACAGAATTACATATACTGTGCAATGTTACTGTACCTTGGAAAAATATGGAACAAAAGTATTAGCAATCTGAAATACTCCGTTACCGTTAAATGTTTATTAGATACCAGCACAGAGAAATGGTTATTACAAATCACAGTTAAAAACACCTACATTAGCTCATTCCTTCCTCCCAACTGGGTACCATGGTAAATTACAATCGAATCGCTGAAACCATTTATAAGATAACTTTTAAACTCAACCTGGTTTCCTCTTAATTTCTTCCTTCATTTATTTTCTCCATTAGTTTTGTCTAGTTATTTCATTTCATAAAATTACTCCATAACCTCTTATCTTTGGTATTGTGGCTCGGGGGTTATGACATGGGTACACTGTAATTCCGATATCAAGCAATGGGAGAGAATGATGGGGGTCAACTCCCTGGCTTTACTTATTTGGTACCGTTAAACTTAGGTACATTTTCCACTTACATGTACAAGAACACACACAATACTCTTACATAGCACCTTTGAGCACTATTACAAGTGACAATGATGCCAGTTACAGCACCAACACTAATACTTTAACATCACCAGAATTAGTAGCTTCTCTTCACCACTATGGTACCTTTGCCCACACACAAACTGATGGTCAACCTACTCTTGCCGACTCCAAACACTCAGACATACAGGTGTATTCAGAGGAATAACAGCCACCATATACCCCTACTGAGTAGTGGACTCATCCATAACAATGAAGGGGGCTGGCAGTGTTTGCTCTGCCTGTGATATCAACAAACTGGACATTGAACGGCTGACCAGTTGAATGGATCCCAGAGGTGGTGGTTAGTTCCTGACGCTCGTGTTCACGAATTTACCCGAGTTCACTGGCCTTCATCCATCTCCCAAATTAGTGTGGAGGTCGTCCCAATCTACAAGGCTCTTGGCCAAGAGGAACCTGTGGGTGGAAGAGTTTCAGACACTGGACCGAGTTTGTCGACATGAACGTCAACGTTTCAAAAGGACGCTAAGGGCGTGAGATTACTTCACTTAATACACATCAGTTACGTTACTGTATCACTTGCATATTCAAACTATAACACGGAGCTGGACATTACCTGTGCGTGGAGGAGTTTCAGACGCTGGACTGATGCCTGAGAGCGTCAATGCCCCGCACTACTCCTCCCTCGATCAGCTTCGAGTTCCACTCACCCAACAGCTCTGCCTGAGCTGTCGATTACATCCAGTAGATTCTGAAAGATACCTGGTCTGACAGTTCCCTTCAGGTTAATTAATTTCATAATTAACATCCTTACACCATTTTCATATGTAAAAAGAGGGTGACTTCAGCCTCGGTCAACATCTCTGGGGCCGACGTCAATGATACCTCCATCTCGCTGCCGACATCTCTAAGTTGACGCAAAGCAAGGGTATTCTCTTACCAATTCAAATGCATGAACATCCTGTGCGGAATTTTGGTATACAGTACTTGAGTTTCTATGGTAATGCGACATAGATAACGGAAGACTATCTCCTGAAGTGGTTAGAGACGATTGTTTCAACTGGTAGACTCAAAAAGGTTTACAGGTTTTGTGGGTGTGGAGAGTAATATGAATTATTAGGTTTTGACAGACTAGCCATGTCATTATGACCATGACACCCCTTCCCCAAGATTCATGTTATGCGGTAACATTCAGAAAACATGTATACTGTAGTAGTTACACATTCTTTAAATAACATACTTTCGGTTATTGGTTTCACGATATGGTGCACACACTAAATCATTAATACAAAATATAATTTCCCATACACAAATAATTCACATTTAACAATAACATAGAATATCATTCACTATAGGTTATCTGAATTTTGGTCATTATGAAATGGTAATCGGTTATCATACAATTAGAATGTGACACGGCAGGAACAATGACTGGTGAGGCAGGAACCATGGCCTCCGCTTCCATTACGCGAGGTTAGCAAATGCTAAGGGCGCTAAAGATGCTAAGGGCGTCAACAGTGTCACCACCACAGCTCCATTCTTCACAGCCAACAGATACAGTGTCACCACCACAGCTCCATTCTGCACAGCCAACAGATACAGTGTCACCACCACAGCTCCATTCTTCACAGCCAACAGTAACAGTGTCACCACCACAGCTCGAATGTGCTGCATCCAGGGCTGCACCTAAGAACATAAGGAGTCTGCAATAGGCCGGTTGGCCTGTGCATGGCAGCTCCAGTCGAGAGTTACTATCACACTCTATCATCCATGAATCTATCTAGCCTCCTTTTGAAACTTTCCAGAGTTCCCACACTTACTACAAAGTTGCTAAGCTTGTTCCACCACCCTATTTGTGAACCAGTTTCTTCCTATCTCCCTCCTAAACCTAAACTTATCCAACTTGAATTCGTTGCTCCGAGTCCTATCCTGCTCGGATATTATAAGAACTTTATCTATATCCCTTTAATTGATTCCTTTCACCCACTTAAATACTTCTATCATATCTCCCCGCACTCTTCGTCTTTCTAGAGAATGCAAGTTAAGTTTCTTTAACCTATCCTGATATGGAAGGTTTCCAAGTACCGGAATCATTTTTGTCATTCTTCGCTGCACCGACTTTAGTGAATTTATATCCATTCTATAATAGGGGCACCAGAACTGAACCGCATAATCGAAGCGCGGTCTGACTAGCGCAAGATATAGTTGCAATAAGACCTCTGCACCCAATACTCTGTTTGCCTTATTTCGAACATTAACGCACTGTTTTCTAGGCCGTAGGTCCGGGCTTACAAGTACCCCTAGGTCTCTTTCACAAGTCGACTTCTCTAGGTTGATGTTGTTAAGGCTGTATACATTATAAGTATTTGTTCTTCCAATATTAAGTACGCTTCACTTGCTGGTGTTGAATTTCATTTGCCATTTTTCAGACCACCCCTGCAGTATATTTAGATCCTCCTGTAATGCATTTGCATCCTGCCCTGAATTAATTTGCCGCCCTATTATGGTGTCATCGGCAAACTTGTTTATGTCAATGCTGATCCCAGTATCTAGATCGTTTATGTAGATTATGAACAAGAGTGGGCCTAGTACTGACCCCTGGGGAACCCCACTGGTTACACGGCCCCACTCAGATTTAACACCATCTACACTGACCCTCTGCGTTCTATCGGTGAGCCATGATTTTATCCAATTTAAAACTTTCCCCTCGATACCATGAACCTTAATTTTTCTCAGAAGCCTCTGATGCGGTGCTGTCAAATGCTTTGCTAAAGTCTAAGTAAATAACATCGTAATTTTCGTCATTATCTACTACCTCGAAGACTTTCCTAAAAAACGTTAGCAGATGTGTTAGACAAGATTTTCCCTTTGTAAACCCATGTTGAGAGTCGTAGATTAAGGCTGCACTTGTTGACCCTACTGACTGGCCCTCCTCAATGTCCAACCAGGAAAAAAGCAGAACTTGTTCGCAGAGGACCTTACCAAGTTGATCCTAAATATGGGTTTCCAAAAAAGGATGGGAGAAGATGTCAACATGATTACTTTCGCCGAATCTTAGTAAATGGAGAGAAGATCCAAAGAAGTTGGCTAATTTATTT